GCTTGTAAAGCATGCACAAGACCCTGGGTTCAATAATTTCAAACAAAACAAGCCCCCTCCCCCCAAAAAACAAGAAGCTACTGTCTGTCATGTGTTTAGAACAGAGTAGACCCTGAGATAATTATGTCATAATTTGCAGAATAAAGGCAGGAGTGGTGATATGCGCCTGTAAGCCCGGTACTCAGGAGGATGGGACAGGAGGACCTTGAGTTTGAGGCTAGCCTGGGCTACACTACAAAGCCTCATCTCAAAAACAAACAAACAAAACTAAAGCCCAGGGCTGGAGATATAGCTCAGTTGGTAAGTGCTGGCCTAGTGTGCATGGCCATCCCCAGAACCTTACAGCCACAGTGTGGTGGCACACACCTATAACCCCAGCATTGGGATCCAGGCCTGGGAGCACCGTTCTTAAAAGTCATGACCATCAGAGCACTGCCTGATGGCTAGATGGTAAACAAGTGGCTGCCGGAGGTGGCAAGGGTGGCCTGGGAAGCAGAGCAGCCAGTGTTTTCAAATAGTGGTTGGCATTGTTGAAGAGTTGATGGGAAGCAGACTTCTTCTTCAAGGCTCTAAAGTCCTGATTCGAAACCCCAGCCACCTCCACGCCCCTGCAAGGCTGCTTAGACACAGCTATGGGGTCTAAGCCTGATTCTAACTTGACAAGACCTAGAATCTGCATTTCTAGCAAGTTCTTTGGACGGGCTTCTGCTGCTAGGCCATGAATGCTCTTTGCTAATCATTAGTGTGCCAGACCAGGAACTGTTTATGATGCTACTGACAATAAGAAGAATTCACAGGGAATGCTGGGGATACAGTCCCAACAGCAGAGTACTAGCCTAGCACACACAAAGTCTGGAGTTCAATCCCCAGCATTGTTTAAACCAGGTGCAGTGGTGCATGCCTGCAATCCTAGCACTCTGGAGGTGGAGCAAGTTCAAGGTCATCCTTGGCTATGTGTCGGAAAAAAAAAAAAAAAGCAAACTAGAAGGTCTGGCTTCTCACAGCAGAGAAAGGATTTCTGTTGCCCGATAACTTACAAAAGAATATTTTCTTCATCCCCTCCCTCCAAAAAAAAAAAAAGAATTGATGGGGACTAGCTCCTATGCTGTGTACTGTTGACGTTTTCTCTCTGTAGGAGTCACAACCCCATTTTGGAGGTGAGCGCACTGAGTTTGTTCTGCACTGAGTTTGTTCTTACAGATGAGACCCCTCTGGCCACAATTCTGGACATGTTCAAGCTGAGACTTAGTGGCTATCTTCAGGGATGCCTGGGGTGGAATTCCACTTCCCAGTGGAGAGCAGATGAGACAATTCCAGAGTCCTCTGGACTCTTCAAGCTGGGCTGCCTACAGCCAGTACCTTTAAACGCTAGCATGTACTGAGCAAATAACAGCCAGCTCCTTCGCAGAGTCTCTCCAGGGTGTTCTCGTCCCTCTGTAAGGTGCTTTCCGATCGTCTCGTCCCATCCTCCTCGGCACCCGCGGTGACTTCACCCTCCCCTTCCCAGGCAGGCTGGGCACTTGGACTTCATGTGGGTATTTGGTAAAGGAGGTTCTCGGCGACACACCTGCCTCAGCTTTATTCGAGTTCCTGCGTGGTAAGGCGGCCTAGCTATCAAGGTAATGTTCTTGGCACCAAGCTCTCTCACCTGCCCCAGGCCAACCCCTCACGAAGCCTACAAAAGCTTGCTCCACACTCCTGCCAGCAGGGCGATGATGTGGCCGTGGCAATGACAGCTTTGAAGGTGTGGAAGGGGTGACGTCATATCCAGGTTGGCCACAGGAATGGCAGAGTGTGCTGAGCGACCTTGAACTGCAGCAGCCCTCTAGGTGCTGCTCCTGGCAGGCGTGAGACTCTGCAGGGCTCTATGTTCACTTGGATGATTCAGCCAAGCATGACGGGTCTAAGTCCAGTGACACCCCCATAGCCCAGGGGCATCAGACCTTTACTCCCTGTACATTATTTTTGCTTTGAAGGTTTTTCCATTCTAATAGAAATGGTAGCAAAATCAAGCTGGGCAGTGCAGATTTAGACACCAAGGAATCTGGCAACAGTGATGAAGATAAAGGCGAGTGGCCAGGGTGTGGTCAGTTTCTCCCCCTCCCACCAGCCCCACTCCCACCCCTGTGTAAAGGACTTCAGGTTGATGCAGCTTTCCAGTTAGGTGCAGGGTGTCAGTGTGAAGAACCAGGTGATCCAGGCACCCGGCAAGGACCAAACTCCAAGTCCTTGTCTTCAAAGAGCAGCAGTGAAGAAGCAGTGAGGACGAGGCTGGGTCCCCAGTCCCCAGTCCCAGTGAGGACGAGGGTGGGTCCCCAGTCCCAGTGAGGACGAGGGTGGGTCCCTAGTCCCAGTGAGGACGAGGGTGGATCCCCAGTCCCAGTGAGGACGAGGGTGGGTCCCCAGTCCCAGTGAGGACGAGGGTGGGTCCCCAGTCCCAGTGAGGACGAGGGTGGGTCACCAGTCCCACGAAGGGACCCAGGAAGGTCAGAGGGGCTTCGGAGTAGGTGGCTTTTGAAAACGAACAAGCTTATCTCTGACTAGAAACCCTGCACGTCTGCACACTCTTCCCTACCAGGTCCCTCACATTTGGTGGGGAGGGGTGTCTTAAGTTCCTCCCTAGAGTTTGTGAGGGATGGGATGGGGGCAGTTCCCTTTCAGTTTGTAAGAAAGAAAACACAGGCAAGGTCTTTCGTTTTTGTGATACTACGAATCAAACACAGGACCTCGCATACAAGCCGGGCAATACTACCAATGAGCTACAGCCCTAACCCCAAGAGCAGACATTTAAATACTCAGCAGGGGCTGGTGAGATGGGTCAGTAGGTACAGGCCCTTGCTGACAAGCCTGAAGACCTGAGTTCTATCCCTGGAACTCAAGCTCCCCCAAATCAACTAAAGAGTAAATACAACATAATGAAAAAGAGCAAGATGCAGTAGCACGTGCTTGCAATTCTCATACTTGGGATGCTGAGGCAGAAGGATTGCTGTGAGTTCAAGGGCAGCCACATCTGTCTCAAAAGTCATCAAGACGGGTCTAGGACAGCCTCTGTTCTTACGGAACTTGTTTTAGTTGAGAGGTAAGTTACAGAAATATAAAACCAAAAGTTGTAAAGAAGTTGTGCAAATATCAGCTCCCAGCTGTTTATCCAGCTCTCGATGTCCTATTGGCAGGCGGGGCACCCTGGGACAGGAAACTAGAACTTAGGTTACTGCCCTGGGGCCCAAGAACTCAAGGGGCAGCTTTGAAGAGCTGATGGCTGCCTGAACGGTGGAGAGGCTGGCAGCAGCTGGAATAGTCCTGATGAGAGGTGTCTCAGAGTGAAGGGAGTCAGACAGAGCTTATGTGGGGAAGGTTCCTAACCGAGTATGGAATCAGAGAGAAAGTTACCATGAGACTAGCTTTGGTGGAGATGGGGCGGGTCCTTTTGTTTGAACTTTGCTTCTATCTAAGTTTCCCATTTTATGCATTTGTTTTAGTGTGCGGGAATGTGGACACATATGTGCCATTTTACAGGAGTCAGTGCTCTCCCTCCACCACAGGGGCCCTAGGAATCGAACCGAGGTCATCAGGCTTGGCCTCAAGTGCCTTTACCCACTGAGCCCTCTCTCCAGCGCCTCAGTTTGCTTCTTTTTTAAAAAGCTTTTCGTTTTTATGGATGTTTTGCCTGCTGAGGCCAGAAGAGGGACTGGAGTCGTAGACAGTTGTGAGCTACTGTGTAGCGCTGGAAAACAAGCCTCCGGTCCTCCGGAAGAGCGGTCAGTGTGCTCCTAACCACCGAGCCGTCTTTCCAGCCCCCAGTTTGGTTTTACTCTAAATGCAGGAGGAGGGCACACCTTGGCATTCCAAGAAATCATCACAGACTAAAACACTATTTTCTTTATAAAAAAATTTTTATTGTACATTAGCTGAACACGATATTGGGCTTCATGATGGCATTTTCATATGTGTGCATAATGCACTTTCATCCTCCCTGTCACCATCTGTTTTCCTTCACCCCCACAGACCTCTTTCCTCTTCCCAACTAGTCCTCCTGGTACTGTGTGTGTGTGTGTGGTGTGTATGTGTGATGTTTGTGTGTGTGTGGTGTGTTTGTGTATATGTGTGTGTGGTGTGTGTATGGTGTGTGTATGTGGTGTGTGTGGTATATATGTGTTTGTGTGTGTGTTGTGTGTATATGTGTGTGATGTGTGCTGTGTATGTGGTGTGTGTGTGTGTTGTGTATTTGTGTGTGTGCGCATGTTTGTGTGTGTTTGTGTGTGTGTGGTGTGTGATGTATATGTATGTGTGGTGTGTGTATGTGTATGCATGTGTGTGGTGTGTGTTTGTGTTTGTGTGTGTGTGTATGTGTGTTGATCCAATATATTTAATTAGGGTTACTTACAGGACCCAAGAAGGGGGTTATTTATAGGAACATGAGTGATTTACCGGAGGCCACATCACTGAAGAAAATGTCTCTTTTATCTCCAGTAACCACTAACAACCTAAAGATCCTCAAGGAAAGATGGGGCCTTGTGAGCCTCCCTTCCACATAAAACTAACCCTTGAGGAGATTTTAAAATAAAATTGGAGCTGTCATCTGGATGTGGTGGCCCCACATCTTTAATCCCAGCACTTGGGAGGCAGAAGCAGGAGAATCTCTGAGTGTGAGGCCAGCCTGGTCTACACAGTAAGTTCCAGGACAGCCAGGGCTACACAGAAAAACCTCATCTCAAAAAAAAAATTAAATAAAAAACCAAATGGAGTTGTGGGGACTTTAAGGAACTACTGATCTATGCAAACATTGGGCTGCTGCATAGGAATACATTGTTCATTTTTTGAGGTAGGGTTTCATGTAGCCTAGTCAACTTTCTATATAGCTAGGGTGACCTGGAACCCCTCCTGCTACCTTGCAAGTGCTAGGACTATAGACATGGAGCCTCCTGGCAAGGGAGACAGAATTCATAAACTGGCCATGAAAATGACATGGGAAGGAGAACTTTGAGCAGGGCAAGGTCTTGGAAGGTATTAATGTCTTTTATTGGATACAGCAGCAGTAACAGGCTCACAAATGACTAACGAACTCTATACCTGTGCAGGCAGCGCAACCAATCAGGTGCAGCCCTGAAACAGCAGCCTGGCAGGTGAGAGGCATGGCGCATCCCCCCGAGTAACTGTGTCACTCCCTCTATCCTTAAAGTCTGTATGATGAATTGTGTTTGGAGCACTGACTCAGCCGTCCGATCTGTGCTTTCCCCAGCTACAGTTCTTAGACCCCAAATAAAGTCGTCTGGCTTTTACAGCATCTGCGCTTCGATTCTTCAGAAGGAAGTGGAGAGTGTGTGAAGCTGGAAAACAGATAGGAAGGGAAGAGGATGGGTCTGGCCTTATTGTTCCGGCTCACCTCCCAGATCCACTCCATCACCTGGTCCACGTAACCTTCCCAGGAGCTCCTCTGGCCTCTCATTATCCTCTTGCAGTCCACCTCCTAGCTGCCCTCCTCGCCTCACCTCTGTCTTCACCTGAAGCCTCATACAGTAGAGCACCCAGCAGCCTTCTGACTGTAAACAGGCTGAGTACAGACTCAAGCCTGCTCACCCTGCTCACCCGGTGCTTATATCTTCTGTTACTATTTTACTATAGTATAAACCACAGATGATAAGATGCCCACTTCTTAACGTGAAGCCCAGTAAGCTTTTACAGATGTTTCTGACCGAGGAACATTAAGTAGGATAAAAAGTTGAACCCCCATATGGGTGAAATCACAAGGGTGTAATTATCTACCCAACCATTGCTTGGAAGCTTAGGTGTCTCTTTCTATAGGGGAGGAGAGAATAGATGGGTTTACACATTTTTTTTTTGAGACAGGGTTGCTTCGTATTGCTTTGGAGCATGTCCTGGGTTTACACCATTTTAAGAACTTTTTTCCCCGATTTTTCAAGACAGGGTTTCTCTGTGTAACAGCCCTAGCTGTCCTGGAACTAGTTCTGTGGCCCAGGCTGGCCTCGAACACACAGAGATCCACCTGCCTCTGCCTCCAGAGAGGAAATTTTAAGAGCTTTTAAGTGATTATCAAAAAGCGCCTGGCACAGAGACAGTTGCTATCCTGTGTGTGTTCTGGTCCCCAGTCTTCCTTTTTGAGACCAACCACAGGCTTCCTTTGTAATCTGGCCTCATTGCTGATAAGGGATTTCCACAGAGCTCTCTCCTGGCGCGTAGGGATAGCATCTTGAGGTGGTGTGCCTGCAAGAGAAGTTGTTGTCTCCATTTCATGTCAAGTTGTCCCAAACACTTTCTGGGAACTTTCAGTTCTGATACCCCTGGATACAAGTGGGCACGATGTCACAGCCTCCACTGCTGTTAGAATACGAGGCAAGGGAGACACTGACCGGCCTTACTGCTCCGCTGCTAGATCTGGTACAGGCACCACATCCTAGCTCCCTCAGGAGTGGGACCACACACAACCATCCAGGGCCACGGGGTCCGCAGTAGGGTCCTGGACTGTAAACAAACCCCTCCCCATTGCAGACCTTTTCAAGTGGAAAGAGAACTCTGAGTGGAGGTTTATCTCAGAATAACTCTAGGAGTCCTAAGGTTTCTGCCTTCCCTCACCGCACTGGGAAGAAACAGTCTTGAGCATGTCACACCTATGATGGGATGGGATAGGTGCGGATGTCGCCTTCCTATCCCCAAGCTTAGAGTGGAGGACACTTAAGTTTCTAGGACTGAGGATAGTGGCCTACCATATTGTAGACCTTGAACCTAAAAGCAGCAAAATGAAGGGCCAAGATTTTTTGTTTGTTTGTTTTTGTTTTGTTTTGTTTGAGAGGGGAGGGTGGCTGAACCCTTTGAGGTTCCAAATGAAAGCCACAAGAAAACAATGTTCACTTGAGACTATTTTTCTCCCGTGGGGGTAGGTGTGGGGATAGAGGGCGGCACCGGGAGACCCTCGAAGTCCACCTGCAGCATCCCCAGGATCAAGGGATGAGGATTCTGGTCGCCAAGAGAAAAGGCTCACGAAGCGTTTTGCGCGAGCCATTGGGTTCCAGCGTAGGCTCCAGGGACCCAAGGCGAGGCGGGGCCCTCCCCGCAGCGGGACACGTGCGTCCACAGCGCCCCCGACCGCCAGGCGTCCCCGCGCTGCCCGAGGGCGGGGCAGCCGCGCGGCGCTCCCCTCCTCTCCTCCTCCCGCCCGGCCTCCGCACTCGGCCCTGGGCTCGCTGTGAGCTGCCGGCCGAGCCATGGGCTGCGACGGCCGGGTGTCGGAACTGCTCCGCCGCAACCTGCAGCCCACGCTCACCTACTGGAGCGTCTTCTTCAGCTTCGGCCTGTGCATCGCCTTCCTGGGGCCCACGCTGCTGGACCTGCGCTGCCAAACGCACAGCTCGCTGCCCCAGATCTCCTGGGTCTTCTTCTCGCAGCAGCTCTGCCTCCTGCTGGGCAGCGCCCTCGGGGGCGTCTTCAAGAGGACGTGAGTGTCGCGCCCGCGTGCCCCTTCACATCCCCGCAGCTGCGACCATCTGCCCGGCTACACCAGGTCTTAGCCCCAGGGGCTGCCTCCCTCCCCCACCACAAGCTCTCCCGGAAAACTCTCCCGGGACTGAAGGTGACTTCTGGGCTATGTGTTTGTCTCCACTCACCCCTGAGAGAGTTTAAAACCTTTCCACCCTCGTTCACCGAGCCCACCAGCCAAAGAGGGATGGAATGTGCAGAGATGCGTAGCACCCGCTCTTGAGATTTTTGTAGCCCCAGCACCGGAGGTGGAATTGGCACTGAGGTGGGCAGACAGTTGGTGTTGTCAGCTCGGGTGGGCAGTCCTCGGTGACAGGGTTGGCCTGTGGTTTGAACAGGAACGCAATTGTTGGCTCTACTAATAGGAGCGCCACATGGATTGATACAGGTGGTCCCTTCACCTAGGTGGTGAGGCCCCTGGAGTGGGAGCCAGGACACCGCTGCAGCGTTGGCATGCAGAGGCTGAGCCCTTGGGCCTCTGAGATTCGCATAGCGAGGGCCGGGTAGAGAGTGTAGAGCCTCCCATCCATTCTCTATCTCTGGTACCCAGGGTCCCCTCTGTACCCCTCCAACCTTGTTACTCCTCCCTGGTCTCTGACAGGACAGAGCTCTGATCTCTCTCTGGCACTCAGAATGACACCCTTTGGGTGCCGCATAGAGTCCTGTTCCCCTGGCTAATTGTATAGGAGCCCCTTTCCTAGAAAAGCAACTGCCTCTACTCTCTCTTCAGCCAGGAGCAGAGACCTACAGCTGAGGCTGAACGTCCTGTACACCAGAGGCTGTTGTGTGGTCTTCCACCTGCACCGCAAAACCACGGTTGGGAGGTCTATCGCAAAATAAATAAATACAAATTTAAAACGTGGGCCAAAGGGCTCTAGGGCTCAGTCCTCTAGGTGTGCAGCTGCAGGAAGGTGCAGTACAGGTGTCAGCATGAAGTGGACCCCAGTCTAAGCAACCCAGAGCTTGCTCTATCTCAGCAATTGCAGAGTGACGAGTTTCATTTCTTGTGACTATCAGTGTTTTTTGTGGGTTTGGAATAGGATCGGATATACAGAAATTCCAAAGATCTGTTCAGGCTAGACAATTAATGAAAAGGAAGAGGGAATGTCTCTGACTGTCCGAGGAGGGGTTCTGTTGTTGTCTAGGGGTGTTGGATATGGAACCCAGGGATGCATGTGCGCCAGGCAGGACCACAGTCCTAACCCTCACGGGTGTTCTGCTGTGCTGATTTGGAGAAGCTCTCCTTCCGGGAACTCCTTAGAAACATATGTAGCACACAGAGAGAGGACTGAGGCTCGTTCTACCTGACAGGCTGGCAGAAACACATGCCCAACTGGGCCATCTCTCTCTGGCGTTGTTTCTCTCTCTAGGTTCCTTATCCACCAGGGCCCTGAATGCAACAGAGCGACTCCTGCAGCAGGAAACCACAGTAATGTCAACAGTAGCTACTAAACTATTGTGCAAAAGGCCTGTGCCAGGGCCATTGTCAATTCTATCAACTCATTTACCTTTCACCACAACCCTGAGAAGTAATCCTGTTGTCTCCATTTTATACCCAAGGAAGTAGAGACACAGAGGGGTTAAGAAATTCACCTAGGTGTACTAATCCCAGCTCTCTGGAGACTGAGTCGGGAGAACCATGAATTGGAGGCCAGCCTGGGCTACATAGCAAGACCCTGTCTCAAGCAGCCAAAATAAAATGAAATAGAATAGAATAAAGAGGCCAGGAAGTGGTGGTGCACACCTTTAATCCCAGCACTTGGGGTGCAGAGGCAGGTGGATGTCTATGAGTTTTAGGGCAGCCTGATCTACAGAGTGAGTTCCAGAACAGCCAGAGCTGTTACAAAGAGAAACCCTGTCTTGAACAAAAATGAGAAAGAAAGAAAGAAAGAGAGAGAGAGAGAGAGAGAGAGAGAGAGAGAGAAAGAAAGAAAGAGAAAAAGGAAGGAAGGAAGGAAGGAAGGAAGGAAGGAAGAAAGGAAGGAAGGAAGGAAGGAAGAAGGGGGACTTTGTCCCACATCACACAGTTCCAGGGTTTGGACACAGGCATTTGTCTGTAATCCCAGGATCCTTAGAAGCAGTTCCTGCCTTGTTCCTGTCCATGGCTGCTCTATAGCTGAGGTTTGGGCAGGAGATGGATATCCTGTCAGTCTTCGTGGGCCATGGACGAGTTTTCTTGAGCCCTGACGGTGCTTGGGAAGGCAACATGTGCCTCTGGGCTTCCTACTGGGATCTTCCCAAGCCAGGTAGGGCTCTTGAGGTTTGGCTTTAAATTCTGAGTTTCAGCCCTTTTGGCTTCAAGACAAAATGTCACCAAAAACCGTTTTCTTTGATACAGAGCAAAGCTGGCCTCTGGTGGGAAAGGGGGGGGGGGGGGGTCCTGAGTATCAGCAATGATGTTCCCCACCTGGCTAACTCTGAGCAGTCTCCCCATTCACACCTCCAAGTGAGCTGAACAGAAGCCCTGTCTGTCCTCAAGTGGAGCACAGCCTCGCCTGTCTGCTGAAATGCTAATATCCCTGCAAGGAAGTGATTACCAGCCAGTGTGCCAGGCTGGCATTGGGAATGGGAGGTTGCCTTAACAAATCCCAAGGGCCAGCTGTAGAGAGGGGGGTGGGGGTAGTGACACCCCAGATGCTTTGCTTTAGGGTTCTGCTTAGGTCCTATCTAGGCCTACTCTGAGGGCTCTGGGCCACAGGGAGCCTTCTAGATGCATCCATAGAGCAGGCATTGGAGTAGGTCCTCAGGGCAACAGCAACCTTCCTCCCTTGCCCATAGCAGAAACACTAGAGTGTAGCCTTGAAATGAAGCTGTCTGCAGAGTTAGCAGAGGACGAGCAGCCCCCAGACCCTGGGCTGGAGCCTCTCTAGGAAAATCTTGTTCAGCACAGAGGGAATCTAGAGAAGAGACACAGAAAGCCACCCGGCTGACAGGGTGACGAGGCATGTGATTTGGCAGGACAGGTAAGGAGTATTTAGACAAAAGGTTAGAGGGTTTTCCTGGTTTGTGGGACCTGTCTAACTACCCTGGGCAGTTGGGAAACCCCCTTATCTCAGGACATCAGTAGATTGATGATTTGAGATCTCCAGCATCTATCTCCCAGTCTCCCCATGACTACTCCCCTGCACTAAGTGGTTGAGGGCTTGATATCAAGATATGCCAATTGACACCTTCCTTGTCTAACTTTTAAAATCTAATTCCCTCTTATCTTCAAGTCCCATGCTGCCTAGATCCAACTAAGAACCCCTCCTTCACACCTTCCTCATAGCCAGCTTGAAGTCCACTTGCATCTCAAGTCACTGGGCCCTTGCAGGGCCTGGAACTCATCCTCATCAGTTCCCCCTCTCTGGGCTGGCCTCTGTTGGCCTCACTTCTAGAATGCCTCTGTCCCATCAAAAGCTTGTCCACCTTGAAAGGTCACGAACCCGTGCCAGAGTCTTCCTGGGAGTTCAGCACCAGAGAGGTCCTTGTTTAAAACCAACTGAAAATCAGGCGTAGGGGTGTAAGCCTGTAGTTCCAGTCCTGGGGAGATAGAGACAGGAGGATCAGGATTCATAGTTGTCCTTCACTACACAAGGTGTTTGAGGCCAGCCTGGGCTACTTGAGAACTTGTCTCAGTCAAAACAAAACAACAGAAATTCAACACAGAATTACCATGAACCCAGTATATGCCCAAGAGAAATGAAAACATTTGTCTACACCAAAATGTGTACTTGGATGTGCACAGCAACATTATTTATTATTCATAATAAGTAGAAATAAACTAGTTTTCAGAAGTAGATGGCCAGGTAAATAAAATGCGGCATAAATAAAGGGACAGGCAAGCCTGTGGAGCCATCCTTACAAGGGTGTCTCATGCAGCCAAAGTACTAGCCATGAGGACCACAAAGGGTCTGGGGCCATTTACATGGGCTGTCCAGCACAGAGGACCTAGAGTGGCAGAAAGCCTCATCATAAGAGGTAGGAAGTTGCCTGAGGCTGGAGATGGGTGTGGAGAAGCATGGGGTGACTGCTGGTGGGTATAGGATTTCTCTCTGAAATGGCAGAAATATTTTACATTTAAACTACACACAGCAATGCACGACCATAATCCCAGCACTTGGAGGTGGGGTGGGTAGATGGGGTGGGGTTGCTGATGAAGGAAGATTGTGAGTTTTGGGGAAACCTTGGCTATATAGTGAGACTCTGTCTCACAAAGACAATAAACAAACCTCAAAATTTAAACTACGGTGGTGGGTTCATCACTCACAATATGAAAAAAACAGACATTGAGTTATACACTTAAATAGTTGAATTTTATAGTTTAGAAACCATGTGAAACAGTGTGGAGGTATGGAGGTTTGGGGTGACTGGGGTATAGGGAACCCTTCTTGCTCCCCCAGCCTGGCTTGAGAGAAAGTTGCTAACTGATCCTAGTTCCTAGAAGGATGGGCTTCCTGCCCCATGATGAGGTTGGTAGGTGCTGCTTCTGCTGTGACCCCCCCCCACTCTATCCTCCATCCCTTCCCGTGGGTCCACCGGGGCAGGGAAA